TTTTATTTGGCTTGCGGTTTTTTCCTGCTTTTTTTTTTTTTTTTTTTGGTTCTCCTCCTGCCTCTGCCTTGTTTTTTTTTTGCTGATCTGCGTTGATAAATGCGCCGCTGCCACAATGAAAATTTAGCGAAATTCATAAACAACGTTTTCGAATGTTTGTAAATTCCCGCGAAATTTTAATAAATTTGTAAATCAAATTAATTACTAAATTATCACATTGATTCTAATGGTTGTAAACCAATTAATCGCATACATTGATTTAGTACATTTTTAGCACAGATAAACAATAATAAACGTGTTTGTTGAATTGATTTCGGTTGTCCTTTGATTGTTAATTCTTGATTAGCACGATTTATAGCCGTTCTAAAATTGGAAAAAATTGAATTAAATTTTTTATTCAAAGATCAAAATAATCAACTTACTTAAGATCAAACATATAATTGGTTAATATACTTGGTTCTAGTTGATCATAAGATTGATCGATTATTTCATCAAACATTAATAATTGATTGATTAGACTTCGACCTTCCAAAGTATCGATAGCAGCCAAATTCAATGATAATGATGATGATGAACATTGATAATCATCATAATCATCATCGTTATTTGTAGATTTTTTAATCAAATTACATAATCTTGCATGTGTATATTGTAAAGAAATTCCTGTATTTCCATTCATTCGAAGTGCACGATTCCAATTGAATCGATATTCAGATACACGACGATTTGATAAATCATTTACAATGATAGCTGAAACACCCAATATATCAGCAATCGGTTCATATTGTTCAATTGGAATTTTTGTGTCTATGGAAAAAGAAATTTCATTAACAACGAAAAGATTTTTAAAACTGAAAACAACTTACTTTGACTAGTTTTTATTGCTTCCAATGAACGATGTTTAGCTTCATTTAGTACATCATCAAGAAAAATTGCTTCACCTTTACGTGTACTCATTCCTAATATTCGTCCGAATTTCAAATGTTCAAGATTTCTAAAATTTGATTTGATTTGTAAAATGATGATATTCAATAGAAAAACAGCGACAATTCAAACAACAACTTACCGATAAACAGGATTATTCAATGAATGAAAAATATTTTTCAAATTATTAAAATGTTTTGATTGACTACTATCGACAACATAATACATTTGATCAAAATTATAATGTTTTTGTCGATTTATAACTGCGGCTAAATCTCTAGTTAGATAAAGACTTGTACCATCATTTTTCAATAATGGTATAGCTAATTTTTTATTCTTCTGATTTGGATCATCAATTTCGATACATGTTGCACCATCAATAATTTTGATTAATTTTTGTTGTTGAATCATCTGGATTATATCATTTATTGATTGACTATACATTGATTCACTTTCATATCGATCAAATTGAATACCTAATCTTTTATATAATTTTTCCAATTCATCAATACTTAATCGACGAAATTCATACCATTGTTCATAGATTCTGGAATCATTTGTTTCCAATTGATAGAAACGATTTTTAGCCTGATTTCTCCAATCAATATCCGAATCACATTTTCGATTACCATCAACATAAACATTGAATAAATGTTTTAATGGTTCACATTGTAGCTTGTTTGGATCACCAAATTGATCATATGCAAGACTTAATATACCGAATTGTGTACCCCAATCACCAAGATAATTCATTCGTATAACATTATTTCCATAAAATTCCAATATATTTGCAATACTATTACCAATTATTGTTGAACGTAAATTTCCAACATGAAATGGTTTTGCAATATTTGGTGATGAATATTCAACAATAATTTTCTTTTTACCACCATTTAATTGATGTTCAACAATCAAATCCATAAGATTTTTCTTGCTTAAATCTTTGAATAGATGCTATTTTTGAAAATAATTTGTTTTTTAACAACAAAAAATCAATAGGAAAAATAATAAAAACCAACCGACTTTGATTATTGTTTCGAAATCAATTTCAATTGCCCAAATATTATCGAATGTTGTTGTTGATGAATTATTGATCGAATGAATAATTTTAGCATTTCGAATGAATGAATTATGTTTCATCAATGTTTTTATAAGTTGATCATCTTTGTTATTATCGTTTCGATTGGTTTCTTTAGCCGTTAAATTCAAATAAAATGTTTGACCAATCGATAAATTATCAATTATCGATACAGGTGGCCTGACTTTGATCATAGATTTTTCTATAATTAATCCAATCTTTTTTAAATTGGAAACGATTTCTCGTTTCAATAAAAATGCCATTTTTCTGGAAATTTCAAAAAAAGATTCTTTGAAAACAAATACAAAACACATGATAAGTTTTAAAACGCATGCGCTGTCAGAAACTTCGAATTCATAAAAAACAAACATTCGATTTGATTAATCTGGAATAAAGATTTTCTTTTAATGAATAAAATCAATCAATCAATCAATAACAATTATCCGAATGTTTTTTTTAAACGGCTAACAATCAATCTACGATGAAAAAAAGAAAAACAAACACTTGACTATTTTTATGGAATAAATGATTAACGACAGAAACGAAATAATAATAATAATGTTTTAGAAAATCACAAATGAATTTTAAATAATTTAAATTGTTTTTTTTTTGGATAATGACACACACATGGATTGAATTCTCGGTAATTTTTTTTCTCTGCAATTAAAATATTGGAATATAATTATCGATACGTGCTTTATGTTTTTGTGCAACACATTCAGCAATCCATATAATATTACGACATTCTTGTTCTTTTAATTTAAGATATGCATAAAATATACCAAAATGAAATTGTTGTAGGAATGCATTGATATTCAATTTAACTTCATGTTCAAAACATTTATCTTCTAATGTTTTATTTTCAGCATTTGATTGTGTATCAAACAATACACGATAATCGGCATACATTTCGGCTACATTACGTACTTGTTCATAATCATCAGCCATTGCTAATTGTGCCAAACCATATGGATGTAGTTTACCACAAGTTGGATACAATTTTGAACGATCTTCTTTACTTAATTCAGTACCAAATGAATTGATTGTAATCATAAAAGCACGACGATCAGCTTCGAATGCTAAATAAAGAAGAATTTAAACAGAAAAGAATTAGATAATGATGATAATCGTAAATTACAAAATAAAATAGAAACATACCAAGAATTTCACACATAACTTCAGCTGTAACACCACCAAGTTCTTCACAAAATTTATGAAATGATTCTAAATAAGCTTTAAAAACAGTATTACGAATAATTTCAACATTCATTTCATCCAAATCTTGTTCACCAATACAATTAACAAAATATGGTGCTAATGGTGTATCAACCAATACAGCATTATAAAGATCGGATGGTGTTGATGCAACATGAATAGCTTCCATTTGATCAAATGAACCTAATGGATGACATTTAGGTATCAATTCTGATAATGGTCGTTGATGTAATGTACCAGTAATCAATAAAATAATATTATCAATCATATAATAATGTAGAATATAATCAAGAAATGATGATAATGGTTCAACAGCATGATTACGAACATGTTGAAATTCGGCAACTAATTTTTCTTTTAATTTATCTTCAATAACCGATACGGTTAATGGTGATGGTTCATTGGCCAAAAAACCACCATAATCAGTTGATTGTAGATGAAGTTTTAAATCTTCTAATGTTTCACATTGTACAAGATTTAAATAATCCGATTGTTTTATAATACCGCATTTAAAACCACGTACTAATCCTTCCAAATAGCCATTATCAACATTGAATAAACTTTCCAAGAACATTTTCTTTGTTTGTTTGTTTTTGCACCAAAAAAAAAAAATCTTCAAAGATTATATCCACAAAATGACACACACAATATGGTAAATGAATAAGAATCAAGGATGCAAAAGAAAACCAAAACACAAAAGACGCCCACACATAAAAATACACTCAACCAGAAATTTGGATGATGCGCTCTTTCAAAACAGAAAAAAAATCCTGTATTGACGTAGCCGATTCAAGAAATCAAAAAAAAAAATGAAATGAAACTCCAATGGCACCATCTATCCATCCAAATTATCAACTTTCAAAAACATTGATTCGAATGTTTCAAACAAAACAAAAAAAAAATGTCACATGGATAACATTCATGATCAAAATTGATTGATTGATGATGGTGTGACATTATCATCAATCAATCAATCAATCAATCAATTAATCAAATTACAATAACGTCATCGAAAACCTTTTTTTCAATATAATGTCATTTGATTCATCGATAATTATTGAATATCACCATCACCAACAACAACAACACGTATATAAATCGATTGTTTTATTTTGATTTTTTTTTCATTTGATAATCAATCAATCGATCGATCGAAAATGTCAAAATTTGAATTTTGTTCGTTCACCATCACCATCATCATCGTCATCATTATTTCATCCTCATCGGTTATTGATGCAGCACAATTATTTAAAAATTGTTCATCAAATTCTGGTCATATTCAATCGATAAATATTTCCGGCTGTACGGATAATGATTCATATTGTCGATTGAAAAAAGGTGGAGATGTTTTGATGCATTTAGATTTTGTTGCCGGTAAGTTTTTTTTTCGTTCTTTGCAATGAACAACATTTTTCATCATTCATTTTTTGTTTTCAAACAGATAAAGCATTCGAATCGGTAAAATTGAAAATTTTTGGTGAAATAGCTCGTATTAAGATTCCATTTCATATTACACCAGAGTAAGTTTGTTTGTTTGTTTGTTTTGAATCCCTCACAAAAATTAATTTTTCAAAAATTATCAGTGAAGCATGCGGTAATTATGGCCTAAAATGTCCATTAGTCCCTGGTCAAACAAATCGATTCAATCTTTCATTGCCAATAAAATCGATTTATCCGTCAATTCCGGTAAACGTAAATTTGAATTTGATGGCAGGTGATACTGATGATAAAATTGTTTGCATACGTTTCAAAGCAAAAATCTCAAATTGATCATAAAATTTTCCAAATACACAAAAAAATGTATAAATTTTTTTAAAAATCTTCACACAATTGTTATGGTTGCAATCTGTTGTGTTCGTACAATACATTCAGATAATTCGGGTAGACTTGTTGTTTGTCTCATTATAGTTTTCTAATAGAATTTTTTAATTAAAATTTTTTTTTTAAATTACAAAAACAAAAAAAAACTTACACATTTTTGATTTGATTTTCTTCTTGCGAATGAATTTTTCGATCTTTTTGATTTGAAAATTTTCCATGCACGCAATAGATTCATTTTCGATTGATCATCTTTATTTCAAAAAATTACAAAATTACAAAGTAAATAAAAAAAATATCAAAATAAATCCGGACTTACGTTGTTTATAATTATCAAAATCATTATTATTATTATTATTATTAATTATAAAATTATTATTTATAAATTTTTGATCATTATAAATTGTCATCATTGTTGTTGTCGATGGATTGGTTAATGGTTGATGATAATGATGAAAATGATGATGATGTTCAATATTATTTGTATTATTATTATTATTATGACGACGTAAACGTGACGCAATACTATTACTATTATTTGAATTATTAATTTTAACACGTAATGAATTCATTACATTCGATATACGACGACTACGTAATGAATTTGTTATAAAATTCAATATCATTGATAAATATGCCAAACCGAATATAATCCAAAATACGATTAAAATTTTATAAATCCAAATATAATTTTTTTCAAAACTACCGGCAACAAAATCACCAAAACCAATTGTTGATAATGTAACAAAACAATAATAAAAACCATCTAAAAATGACCATCCTTCAATGTAACGAAAAATCCAAGCCGGTACGACAAGAAATGTAAAAAACCATGGTACCAATGATATTAGGCCACGTCGTAACATTAAAAAACGTGCCGATAATTGTCGTTGATATGTTGCTCGTTTTAATCCTCTTGGTAATTTCTTGATTTAATCAAAAAAAACAAAAACAAATCAAATTTCATCATATGACAAAAAACAAACAAAAAAAAAAACATACTTTTGGTGATGAATATAATTTACTAAAACGATCGGCAACACTACCGATCAATAAACTTGTAATCGGTATACCAAATAATGCATAAATAATACAGAAAATTTTACCCATTATTGTTCGTGGTGTTAAATGTCCATAACCAATTGTTGTGATCACAGTGATTGCAAAGAAAAATGAATTGATAAAACCCCAATTAACATATGATTGTTGATTACCATAACTATCGATTAGATTATGATCCTGTGCAATTAATAATTCATGTAAAATTTTACGAAATTTTTGTTCAGTAAAATAATTTTGATTATTATTTTGATTATTATTTGCTGTATTATTATGATATTGTAAATGTCTGATATGTTCAGTAAAATCTTTTAATAATAGATCAATTTCTTTACGTTTTATTTGTTCATCGGGCCATTCTAATAACATAAATATAATACCACCAAATATAACATATAATATGAAAAATATTAATAAAAATACGATATGTCGTATTTCCATTGGAATAGCCTAGATTTTATTAAAAAATTTCTTATTACAAAAGAAAAAAACAAAAAACCTGAAAAACATACTTTTGGAATCATTTTTGGATGCTTTTCTTGATGCTTATTTCAGTCAAAAAAGAATTTATCAGATGATACAGGTAATTAACAAATTTGAATATTCAACAATTTTAATTAATTTAGTTTGAAGAAAAGATTTTTAATCTTCTACGTCGATGTTGATAATATCGATGATATTGATTATGGAAATATTTGGCCACAAATATTGAATATTTTTGCATCATTTATTCGAATAGTAATAACAAAATTGATGAATGAAAACATTTGTACGATTTGAAAAAAATAAAATTTAAAATTTGTAATCTACAATAATATCACAAACACAAATTATCACAAAAGAAAAAAGTTGAAAAATGAAAATGAAAAATCTTTGATGCAAACGCACGAGGATTGAATGACTGACTGAAACATTTGAAAATTCAAATGCAAATGAATAAATCGTCGTTGTCGATCGTAGACGCTTGTTATTACTTGTTGCCGCATCAACTTTTCTTTTCTCAGCAACAATTCTTAGAATTTTATTCTTAGCTTTTTCTTTGACTGACTGTCTGTTGAGAATATCACCGTAATAATCTTCTTAATGTAATTTTTGAATTCCGAAAAAAAACATTTTCATTGTTTTTTTTGTTTACAATCATTCTTCGGGACAATTTTGTTTTAATTGTTTTTTTAATCATTTTTTTATTAAAATCATTAATCATGCATGGATGTCATTGTAAATTTTCAAAAAAAATTATAAACAACAACAACCAAACGACAACAACAACAAAAAATTAACTGTAATGGTTTTTTTAATATTCTTTCTCGATCTTTTCATTGTCAACAACAACAACAGCGGTTGTTTTCAATTTCAATTTCAATGTCGATCAAAGAATGGGTAAGAATAAGAATAGAGGAATTGAATGAATCAGAATTCTTTCATGTCTTTCAAGATGATATGGATGATAATTTATCGTTCAAATTCCATTCGCTAAAACGTTGATGATGATTATGCATGGCTGATTTTTTTTTTGCGAATTACGATTCTTTTTACGTTTATTTTTTTTTATAAATTGCATTCATTATTGATGTGTTGGTGTTGGTGGTCATCAGCATCACTCGGTTGATAATGATAATTCCCCCCTTCCCCTGTTGATGATGTTAAAAAATATTTAAATTTTAAAGTTTTTTTTTAATAATAAACAGAATGGCGATGTGTAATTGCTTGCCAAACTTTTTCTGTTTATTATCGTTTGGCCAAAATCCAAAAAAATAAACAAAGTTGGAAAACATCGACAACCAACATACACTTGCTTCGAAAGATATCGAGATCAACACAAGATAATCAGGGCGTCATACATTGGTGACATCCAAAATAGCATCCTCTTCTTGTTGTTCTTGTTGTTTTTAGCGGGGGATGAAAAAACTTCATAATCTTTTAAGTCTTGAAAGAATATCAACCAAACACAGAATACCCGACTATATAGTTTTGAACTCGAAATTTTTCTGGATTTTCTTTTCTTTTGCTTATTTCATGACTTGAATGACAATGACATATCATCATCATAATACTATGACCTTCTTTGTCGGTAAGAAATATCCTTGCTCCTGTTTTTCTTCATTCATTTCATTTATTGATGACGTTTTTGTTAGCATCGAACTTGTAGCAATGAATGACAGTCATTAACGTCATCATCGATTTGAAAGAATATTTTTTTTTTGAAAATGTAGCCAAAAATAGAAAATACAAATAATTGAAATTCGATAAATAAACACACACACACACATAGAGATTTATTTTTATTATTTTTCAACAAAAAAAATGAAAAAAATTAGGTTAACACTTGTTGCTTGTGCGATTGATTACATACATTCAATGATGAATGAATCAACCGGAAAAAAAATATTATTTTTATTCAGTGAAAAACAAAAATGGATCCACTATCGCCATCTATCCACGAGGATTTTGATTAATTTTTTTTCAAAAAAAAAAATTATTTTCAAAGAATGTTTTTTTTAAAAAAAATGAGAATGATTAAGTGGAATTTTTTTAATAGGGGTTTCACACTAGCAGCAATGTGAATGAAATATTTCAAATGCAATATTTCA